TGCAATTCTATCTGTCTTTAATAATTTTTAAAATTTCATGTTAGCAAAAAAAAATTTATATGATCTATGCATTTGAACTTTAATTCAATTTATATCGTACATAAAATATATTTCATGTAAAGTGCAATACTATGATATTGCGTGGGCACAATAAAACTTTACAAGATGAGGCCCACATGTAAGTGATAGGAGAAAAACTAAAAAGCGTAGGGCCCACTTGTCAGCCCTATTCTCCCTCTCTGTCTTTTCCCCAAAAAATAGCAGAGGAAAGCGGAGGCGGCGGTGATCGTGATGGTGATGGCAGTGGTGCGGGCTGTATGCGGTGGATGGCGATGGCGATGACGATGGCGGTGGTGTGGGTTGTCTGCGGTGCATTATCCATTTAAATTGTATGGATGAACCATATAGAAAAAAATAATCCAGAACACTTTTGTAAGCATATGTATCCATTAATATAATACAGACCAATTACAATCTCAAATGACAGCCTGGTGAAAACTGACGCATCTAGTGTGAGAAAGTATGTAGAAGATAATCATACGGCATTCCATATAAAAGGTGATGGCGTGCTGTACAAAAAAAGAGGACAATGGTGAGTAACATTCGATGAGCAATTTACTATATTCAATATTTTTTTGAATTAATTTAGATCATGCGAACCTACCTTTGCTCACCAGTCAAGAACGTCTTTATACACGATATTTTTAGTGCTCTTCCCTGTTGAATCAACTTCTTTCTTTGGCTTTGCCAAAATCCTTGTTGTTAGCCTTGACACACTCCTTGACAATGCGACATATAGCTGACCATGTGAAAACACGGGCTCTGGAAGATAGATCCCAACATTTGGGATGGTTTGCCCTTGTGATTTGTTAATGGTCATTGCGAAACTGAGACATATTGGGAATTGCTTCCTCTTGAATTTGAAAGGTAGTGATATATCGTCGGAGGGAGGCAAAGGGATCCGTGGGATGAACACCCTTTTGTTGGCATGTTGTCCACCAACAATTTCAGCATCAATTGCATTATCTTGAAAAGCTCTAACCATTAGTCTAGTCCCGTTGCACAATCCATTATTTGGATCAAGGTTGCGAAGAAGATTCACGGGACAATTGATTTTTACTATTAGCTCGTGTGGTGAGAGACCATTTGGAGTGATAGAGTTAAGGTAGTCCAGAGGATAACTGTTGTGAAGGTCATCATCAACAGAGTCAAAGCTGTGATAAACCTTGGCCTGCCCTAGAAATCTGTCAATCATATTCGCATTCAGCTTGTCCACATAATCATTTTTAGTGGATAGAATGGCACGTGTGCTCATATAAGATGCAGAGCTTGCATTCTTTTCATCATCAAGCGAGGGAAACATATGATTAATCAATTCGTGTACTGAATCCTCGCTATCCCCATAAGCAATCACAATTTCATCAGGCAAGCGAACATAATCATCTCTGATAGTGTTTTCAGTGCCATTTCCAATTCTAAGGAGATATTCCGAAAACCATGGATCAGATTGAGCCCTCATGTTTCGCGACAATCTGATCTTCCTAATATTTTCCCATAAATACGATCTCTGCAATGTGCATCAGTTATCTGGGCCCTTGTCCCACGTGTAACCACGGGAAGTACCTGTCTGAAATCACCGCCAAAAACAATAACCTTTCCTCCAAATGGCAATGAACAACACATAATGTCTTGAAGAGACCTATCAAGTGTCTCTACGGCTTGACGCTTCGTCATTGCAGCTTCATCCCAAATAACTAAGGACGCCATGCGAAGCAATTCCGCGGTGACACTTTGCTTCATGAAGTTGCACATGCTGTTGTGAGCAATCTTAATAGGGATTTTGAATCTCGAGTACGTGGTACGTCCTCCGGGCAAAATCGACGCTGCTATACCAGACGTCGCAGTTGCAATGGCTATTAATCCCTCGGACCGCACTCTAGCAAGAAGCGCCTTGTACATAAATGTTTTGCCAGTGCCACCTGGGCCGTCGATAAAAAATACCTAGCTCTTCTTATTAGTTACATGATCAATGATTTCATCAAATCCTGCACGCTGCTCATCATTAAGGGATGTGTATATGTCTAAATGGTCTTGGTCCACTGGCACGTTAAGTTCCTCTATAATCTCTGTCATTACGTCGTTGCAACGTTCACCTGATTAGTGAAAACAAATATATGCATCATGAAACTATTGGTGGGTGGTGCGAATGTAAATTAATAAGAAAAATACGTGATAGCATAACAAAAAATACCTACATCAATGACCTCGGGAAGACCATACTCCGTGATATCCTTCCCCATGGAATGAAGCAAATCACGTATGTCTCGTAGCACCATTTACTCTACTGCTGTAGGGTTAGTGTTCCCTCGGCTGCAATCTTCAGACATTGCAGCCTTGTGATTGTCCCATAGTGCACAGATATCAGTGACTTCGCAAAATACCAGTATGGTTGCAAATAACCAACGCAGAGCAGATGGCATTTGGAAAGTGGATGCCTCATTCAAACAATTGTCATGTGACTTATCCATCTCCACAAGCCCTCTCTTCTCGCATGCCTCTCTAAAGGTAGAGTAAGTTGTACCTAACACTGTCCTCAAATCTTCAAACAAGGTTGCACCTCGCACGTGGTTGAGAAGCACTCTCAAGTAGTATCTCTCCCCGTCTGCAGGGTGAGCGTACACAACCCGTCCGACTTGGCCTCTCTTTGTTTTCCTTTTTTGCCACACATTCTGTCCGGTTATCCAACGGTAGTGTTCAGGGAACTCCTTGTATAGTAGTTTCCTTTCTTTCGGGTCTACTTGATTCATTTTGAAATACTCCGTAAGAGTTGTTCTGGTAGAAGATGGACGATTTACAACATCCTCGAGATTACTATCCTCAATATACGTGACATACTGCATGTTAGGAAGATGAAGTTGGAGCTGCAGAACAACTGGATAGATTCCGAATAGTGGGATACCAAGCATCCTATATATAGCCTCTGGTGGTGTCACGTATCTGGCATTTCTGTACTGTTGTATCTCATTTATTTCCCCAGATGGATCAACCGAGAAAGATGCACAGTCGTGTCCTTTATACACATACTTATAGAGGTACTTCAGAGATTTGATGCTTGCACAAGCCTCAACATTGATGTGACAGTTATACCGCATAAGTAGTCCTGGATTATATGGGACCACCCACCTATTGTCTAACACTGCACCTCTAATCTTGACACGCCATCCGTCATCTCTCCTCCTGTACAAAGGGTATGAGTTCTTCCCTTGTTGTGTTGCTTGGTTGAACTGTCGAGGAAAGTCGAAGCGACACTCTCCATCCACCATACAAGCACAATTCCTGTTCAGTGCGCCGCATGGTCCGTGCAACATATGCTTGATGACAAGACGATGTAGCTCAGGGTATTTGGCCTTGTCTGGTATCTCCGCGCAAATTACTTTATCGTACTCATCTAGGGTTGTCAATTTACTGCCTGACTTCATGATCAACAGGATGTGTTCATGTGGTAGTCCCCTCTTCTGAAACTCTGTAACGTGCGCGTAAGCCTGAACCTCCCCAAAATATTTTTTCTTCACAATAAGATCCAGCACATCTCATAGCTTAGCCCTGAAAACTCTTGCGACAAGGTCTAGTCGATCTTGAGGTTGTTGGCCGGGTTCGAGATGTTCTGTTATCTCATCCCAGTATGGGTTGCACGTCATTGTGATGAAGTAATCTGGCCTCCCAAAACTCTGGACAAGAGCCATCGCATTGAGAAACCTTCGTTGCATGTCGCGATCACCTCCCGGAAAAGATCGAGGTAGCACAACCCTCTTACCAACTGCCGAACCGCTTGTCTCTCCAGAAGAAAGCACATCAACCACGCCCTGCAATCATTAAATAACACCATGATCAAATAACTAGTATGTTGAATCATAGATGGGAGGCACAGTCAATAGTTGTGGAAATATGTTACTCCATTTACCTGGTATAGCTCAGCCCGAATCTTTTTTTGGTTCTCAGGTTTTGAGTACCAATCGAGCCTCATAGACTCGATTTTGATGTACATGTCAACGGCCCATTGTTGGAAAAGTCGTCCTCCGAACAAAATGATGTTTAGAAGTCCCCTTCTAACCTGCAGCCTGAAGCAATAGTACTCCCTCGCTGTGACAAACTTGTCCTTTTTCCCTTTGCTAGATTTACTACTATCGTCATTATCATCTTCATTATCTAGATAATTGTCAACAACCTCATCCTCTGCATCCAAACTTACATATTAATATACATAAACAATGCATAAGGACATAAACTTTAGAAATTATTCGACAAAAGCCACGAGTGTACGTACCCAGAAGATCATCAAAAGTGCTTTCTTCGTTAGTATGTACATCACCAAAAGTTGATGCTTCACATGTTTCATCCATTTCCACATCACACGGAATCTGGTTGGGATCGTCGTACGGCATTTTCAGGTTCCACCCAGTCTCCCTATTAGGGTTAAATAAAGGATACGCCAAAGGATCATAACAACCATGGTATGCTTTGATATAACAGGGCTTATCACTTTTTGCATGTACCAAGACATGTCTATCAAAAGTTTTCATCGGATCATCCCCCTCTAACCAGATGGCAGCAACCTGCGAAGCGGTGGGTGCATTATATCTTCGTTGGTCAGGTGTTACATTAGTGTTGAGCTCAATCATGTAATCATCTAGATTGGGCATGGATCCAACTCTATTGAAGGTCTGTACGTAAGGGTTTGTGCCAAAATACGTAGAATGACCCGAACAAGGTTGATATCAAGGTCAGGAGACCTCTGAACCCTATGGGCCAGTGCTTCAGCGTCTTCTGTATCATAAAAGTAAAGTTGCATATGGAGTGGCCCTTGAGAACCTGGAACCAAATTACCCAGGCGATGGTACAACGCACCATGCACACGAAATGTATACACACCAGTACCCGCTGCAGTGCTGACAATGTTACATGGATGGGAGTAAATGAAAAGTGCATATGCAAGGGAGAAATATATATAAATGGATCAGCACAACAGGGAGAATTATATATAAATGGATCAACACTACAGAGTTTATTGGATCGAAGAACCCACATCATGTATGTACTCTCTAAATGAGCTATCTCATCTATATAAATACAGAGTTCATTAAGGCATTTCACATGGATGACTATTTAGCCAGATTTGCATATCTGACAGTTCTCAAAGTACCAGCTACCTTCACGATTGGTTTGATTCCTTATAATGGAGTAAGATTCTTGTTCGCTGAAAGTACCTGAGTTGAAAATAGCACATGTGCAAACATTTAGATACCAGGCAGCGGTGGCAGAGAAAGCGGAGGAGAAAATAGCTGCGTGGAATTGGATTATACTTTCTACAATACACATCAGGGTTAAAAGAACAGAAATATGCAGCAAGCACAAGTTAAATTTCATCATTAAGGGTAGACTTATTGATATATTCTGGATTTAGCACATTGTATTTACTGTCTTATAAAAACAACCATGCCATTTAAGGACACCAAAGCAACATATTGAATTTATTTGACACAGTACTATGTGATCAGAAAAGAGAGTAGGCATATATGGACAGTTCTATTTGATCAATAAGAGCAGAGGGACATTCTTACTAAATCCCGGACGAGCAATATTTTTAGTAAAGTTCAATCAATATGTTTTTTCATATGCATTTAGCCAAGACCTGAAAAGCATAATCATGTACCCTTGAGACTACAGAGAATGCCATTGGCAATCAAGTTGTATAGATTAACAGAGCAGACAATGTAAGTAACCATGAATAATTGCATAAGTGTGATTTAACTTGAATAGAAACATGTATCTTTAACGGCACAGTACCTATTGTCAGAGGCAGGAATGAAATGAAAAAATGACCGACGCTTAGATCTTACTGGAAATCAGTAAGATATCGTCCAAACGTAGACAACAAATCTATCCCATCCAGTTACTGGAACCAAAACACATTTTTATTCAATAGTCGCTACCATTTCCCATGTATATACAGTCTAAACCAATGATCTTAAGAATATATATTGGTCCCGAATACATAAATGCATGAGTGATCCAAATATATTTACACTTTCAAGGGACAATAACAATGTGCATTTCAGTGCTCTAAATTTCAGACAACCCAATGTTTATTAAAAACAAATGTGCCATTTATCTATTTCCAGTTCAGCACAGAAATATAAAGGCCTTTCCCTTCAATTTCACTATAGAGCAATTATATTGCACACAGTACTATGTGATCATAGAAGCATAGGCATATATACTTAAATATAGCAATACATAGTACTAATTTATGAATATACATAGTTAGATATGGCAGGGACTAATCAGCGATCGTCCGATACACATGTAGACAAATCACCCTTAGAATAGTGAACATATAGTCCTTTTGGAAGAAACACAGGGTGTGAGAATGTTTTTTCTTATTCCAGCCACATCAATTCCCCACCATACTGAAATCAGCAGTATGGTACATATTCATGAATTTGAAAGTGCTTATCAGAGGAAAATACAACTGTTCACAGTTGGCTTTGGATGTAGATATACAGAAAATGTCATCCATGATTCCCAATTTCCAGCACAAATTACATATGATATATATTGAGCATAAATCATGCTTTTACATAAGATCAACATCAGGGATACTTATCGGGAGAGAGGAGACATATTAGGGATGGGGTAGGGGTGGCGAAGGGTGTCCTGTACCTTTCGGCGCAGGAGGAACGGTGGCGTGAGTATGGATAGGCAGCGGTGGCTCTTGAGGCGGCAGCGGCGTCGCGTTGTCGTTGTCGGTTGTGGATGGCGACCTCCTCAGTCTCCACTGCCTCTGCACGGGGTTCTCAAATCTTAAAGCTTGGGAGCTTTTAGAGTCCTAGATTCAGAGTCATGGCAGGATTTACAACTGGCGTTACCTTTTGTTGACCTGTTGACCAGCAGTGATCTGGGGAAGATGCAAAAATGAAAGCTGTTGAAACAACAATATTCAGTTAGGAACCAAACCCAAGACCCCAAGACACCGGGGCCGTCGATCTCCCCAAGACCCCAAGACCCCTATAGTGTGCATTGATCTAATATCTGCCATTATTGCTCTAATTTCAGAGGTGTATCTAACATTGATGGTGAGCTTCTCGAATTAATTTCTACACATTGTATTTACTGTGTCTAACATTGTATTTACTGTGTGTTATAAAACAACCATGCCATTTAACGACGCCAAAACAACATATTGAATTTATTTGACAGTTCTATTTGATCAATTTGAGCAGAGGGACTATTAGTACTCTAGCATTTCTTACTAAATACCATATTTGCATAAAAAAGATAAAAAGAAGAAATTAGATGACTGATTTCTTATGTCAAACAAACAATTGGGTTCCTACCATAGTATTTGCATTAAACAAAGATAAAAAGAAGAAATTAGATGAGTGGTTTGTTTGATTTGATTCAGCTAAACGAAGTAAAATATCTTAGCTGCATTTTTTTTATATCTTTGTTGTATGTTTTGTTTCCTACTCTATTTTGCAGATTTGGTCAAGGTGGTAAGGACAAGCAAGTGCCATATGCCCAGCACTGAAATATTGATCACTTCCTAAGTGCGAGGCACTAAATCAAGTAAAATTACACTTCTCTAATGTACTCTGCTATTTCACTGAAGGAGTACACTGCATCTGCCTCTTTAACCTTTTTTACACATGCTCAAGTTTCTTTAAGTACAGGCCGCTATGGCTGCAGACAGAATTCTAAAATGATTAAGTAAATCAATTGCACCCATGACATATGAATTACTTGCACCACTGAAATGACCTAAAATAATTAAAATTACACTAACCTCGCTCGAATTCAGAACTTGCCAAAACTGAAAGCCTTCAACAGGGACCCGGCCATCGAGCTCGAATTCAAAACTTGCCAAAACTGAGCCTTCAACAGCGACCCAGTCATCGAGGAGCAATAGTTATCATATACATGCACATGCACCAGCAAACTTGAAACCAAAACAAAATCAAGAACAATGTGGATCCCCTTGCACTGGTCTCACACAAGACACATTAATTAAAAAAACTGAAACTTCTATCCCTGCTAGGATATGTCTATACACAGTTGCATTGTACAAAAAGGCAAGAATACCGGTCTTGGAGAGGCGAGAATCGGCGGCGTGACGGCGCGAGGGAGGCGGGGGATCGGCGAGGACGGGACAGAGGAGATGCAGGATCGGCGACGGCGACCTGGGGGATGGGGATCGGCGCCGACTGAACCCCGCGGCGCGCCCGACGAGGAGGGGGGAATCGGCGGCGTGACGGCGCGACGGAGGAAGGGGATCGGCGAGGAGTTCACGCGACGACGACGGAGGGGATCGGCCAGGACTTCACGCGACGACGACGGAGGGGATCGGCCAGGACTTCACGCGACGACGACGGAGGGGCGGCGCGGGAGAGGAGAGAAATCGTGGATGGGGAATCGGTGACGAGCGGGTGGGCGACGTTGGCTGAAGAGAGGATGCGGCGTGATTTCGGGAGCGAGGGAGATTTTTGATAATAAGCCACTAAATACGCGCGCCTTTGCAAACTTACCACCCAATTCGCATGCCTTCTCTAATACATCACTAGGAGTGCACATTTCTTATTTCATACCACTTTCTCTCCTTCCCATCACTTTTTCTTTTTCTTTTTCGTTTTCTGTTTTTCTCTTCTTTTCTGGGACAGTTTTACCACTGGTCCCATCTGTCAGGTAAAAGAGATAGGGAGATCGAGAGAAGGGGATCGGGAACGGGGAGGCAGAGCGCGTGCGCTCCCGTCCCGTCGCCGCGCCGCCTCCTCACCGGGCGCCGCCACCAGCCTCCAGATCGCCCAGCCACCCACCGCCGCCGGCCAGCCTACTTGGCTCGCCGTCGGCAGGCCTCCTTGCCCCGCCGCCGGCCGGCCTCCGGTCCCTCGGGGACCTAGGGTTTTGAAGATAGAGATGGGACAGGGGGTCACGGTTCAAGAGATCATGGCGCAAGCGGCAAGCTCCTCGATTCCATCTGAGCTCCCTTCTAGGTAATGCTATAACTCTCCACATCTCCATTATTTGCATTAACGGGCTGAAGAACAAAATTAGGACGGATTTGGTTAGCGGGCGAACTAATTTTTTTTTACTCTCGTTTTTCTTGTTCGTATGTGATGCGGAGTTTAGCGTGTGCGTTTAGTTCGGTCATTTTACAGCTAAACTTGATGATGGTACTTGTGTTGAAGTGGCGCGTAAATGGCTTGAATGGGTTGTGGACTATCATCAGTGCACATTGGAGAGTTTGGAAAAGGATCTTGCAGTAAGGGTAAAATGGGGCAGCAACCAACATGCTGTGATAAGTGGCTACGACATGGGCACTGGTGAGGAAACACCGTTTAAGGATAATATGGATGTAGCCCATGCATTGTTTGTTAGGAAGAGTGATAGAAAGTTGATTTTGTTTGTTGATGTGGAGGACAAGCCTATTCAGTTGATGACTAACTCGGTAGTTTCAGAGGTCAATGAGGTAGCAATGGGTGAAGTTGTGACAGACAGGCAAGGTGATGTTCAAGAATGCAGCAGTTGTATTGATTGGGATAGTCTAGAGATAGCTCCAATTCCACATAACCAAGTTCCTCAACTTGCTATTGATTGGGATGCATTGGAGATAGAACCAATTCCACAACATCAACTTGGTTCTTCTATGCCTTCGATGGAGGAAGATGAAATGCATACATTTGTTGGACTTAGAGCTGAGGATGGGAGAGCCGAGCAAGCTAGACTTGAGGCTAAGAGGCAAAGGAATTCAGTGCCTACACCAGGTTCAGCTCATACTGAAGGGGATTTGAACCTTAACGAGGCAGAGATTGTAATATGCTGTTAATGATGTAATACCTGGTGAATCTGAAATTTTCTATGACAGAGATGATCCTCCGATGGAAGTTGGAAGCTCATATGTAAGCATGAATGAATTTAGGTCAGCTGTGAGGCAACACGCTATAAAGGGACAATTTCAGGTTGGGACAGAGAAGTCTGATAAAGAAAGGTTTAGGGGCTTTTGCACAGCTGATGAATGCCCATGGGCTATCGTGGCCAGGCTGATGCATAATGAAAAATCCGTGAGGGTCCTAACAACTAACTAAACAATGTGTCATATTTCAAATATTGGTTTGTCTGTATGAGTTGTCTCATGGTTATTCCCTTTTTGTTTTGTATGAGTTGCCGGCCATACTTGAGTATAGACTCCACAGCCCTTAATGGGAGTTGGAATGGTCAGCTAGGTTCTGCTACATCCATAGATGGACACAACTGGATGTTTCCGGTTGCATTTGGTTTTTTTCAAAGTGAGACCACTGGCAATTGGACTTGGTTTATGCAACAACTTCATAAGGCCATTGGAAAACAGCCACACTTAGCAATCAGCTCGGATGCTTGTAAGGGACTGGAGAATGTTGTGAAAAGTGTATTTAGTACAGCAGAGCATAGAGAATGCTTTTGGCACTTGATGCAGAATTTCATCAAGAAATTTCATGGTTCAGTGTTTGGGAACATGTACCCTGCAGCTAGGTCTTACATGACAGATAGATATGAGTATTACATGAATAAAATTCATGAGGCAAAATCAGATGTGAAGCCATATCTAGAAACTTATCACGGCCTACTTTGGATGAGGAGTAAGTTCTTAGAAAAGATAAAATGTGACTTCATCACCAACAATCTAGCAGAGTCATGGAACAAATAGATCAAGGATATGAAGGATCATCCTATTGCAGATCTCGCAGATGGCATCAGAGCAAAGACAATGGATCTATTTGCGAGACGGAGGAAGATAGGTGAGAAACTAGATGGTGTTATGCTCCCTATTGTAGTTCGTCAACTGAATGCAATGACTAGAGATTTGGGTCACTTGAAGGTAGTGCAAGGTAATAAGGACCTAGCAGAAGTGACTGAGATTACTCCTGAACATGATATTAGTAGGCATGCTGTCAATCTTACAGAACATACATGCACTTGTAGAGAGTGGCAAGTTTCTGGCAAACCATGCCCACATGCATTAGCTCTCATAATATCAGCTAGAAACCCAAGAATGGCTGATTACCTGGATCCTTGCTATTCAGTGGAAAAGTATAAGCTGGCATATGCAGGTGTTATTCATCCACTTCCAGATAAGTCCCAATGGCCAAAAGTCAATATTGGTTTCAAGTTGTTGCCACCTCTCACTAAGAGGGATGTAGGGAGGCAAAGAAAGAATAGGATAGTTGGGTGCCTTGAGAAAGGAAGCAAGCCTAGGACCAAAGGAAAGTGGCAGGTTCAATGTAAGAAGTGTCTTAACATGGGCCATAGACAAACATCCTCAAAATGTCCATTAAATGGTACCAAGAAAAAAAAGGTAGCCACATACATTTACTTCTTCTAGCATATTGTACATTAATCTTTATGAATCATTTAACTTGTTTTACATTTTTTTAGGAAAAGTCGTGCTAAACAAGGAAGACCACTAGGTTCAACTAGTGATGCAGCGGGTTCTAGCACACCTAAAAGACAAAAAGTTGCAATCAATGATTCCAGCAATGCGAGTCCTGGGCCTGTCACTAGAAGGTATGATTTTTCTTTAGTTCAATGGTATGATTGATTCTTAAAATTTTACTAACACTCAGTTCATTGAAGCCAATTGGCATTGACTAATGTTGTTGGAGAAGGATCGAGTCAAATGGCAACCCCTCCGAGGCCTACTAGAGCTGCAAGGAAGATCACTCCAAAGAAAGGGAAAAAATGAATGCTTTTCTAAATATAATATTTAGTGTTGTGGATGCTTTTGTAATGTGAAACATGGGACACAACTGGTTGGTTTCATTTTGTTCTCTGAACTTGTCAAATGGTTATGTAATCTGGATGATGTTCTTAAGTTTGTTATTGAACTTGTTTGTTCTCAAATGGTTATATATGCATTATGGGTACATGCTGCCATTTTTTTATCTGTGACCAAATTATGGGTACTTTCTTGACTTGTCAAATGCTGTACAAATTGCAAGGTACATAATGTTGCCAAAATTTAGGGTACATGCTGTCAAAATTTTGCTTACAAGCTGTCAAAATTTTGGCATCCGGAGCAACAGTTTATGTATACACATATATACAATACATGCAGCAATAAATGCAACAGTTATATGCCACTATCCTGCTCAGAGAAGAGGAACAGCAGGGCAGCAGGATGCCATTTTGTTCTCTCCGGCGACAAAATTTTGCTTACAGCAGCAGAGGAGGAACAGCAAGGCAGCAGCATACAGACTCACGGCAGCCGGCGCGCGACAGGACAGGAGCGCAAGCGCTCTGCCTCCCCGTTCCCGATCCCCTTCTCTCGATTCCCCTATCTCTTTTACCTGACAGGTGGGACCAGGGTAAAACTGTCCCAGAAAAGAAGAGAAAAATAGAAAACGAAAAAGAAAAAGAAAAAGTGACGGGAAGGAGAGAAAGTGGTATGAAATTAAGAAATTTTCATTCCTAGTGGTGTATTAGAGAAGGCATGCGGATTGGGTGGTAAGTTTGCAAAGGCGCGCGTATTTAGTGGCTTATTGTCAAAAATCTCGGAGCGAGGGGGTGCGACCGTGTGAGAAGGGGAGGCGGGGGAGACGAGGGGGTGCGACCGTGTGAGAAGGGGAGGCAGGGGAGACGTGGGGTTACAGGAGCGGTTGGATTCGATTATTTTCATCCGTTAGATTTGATGAATGAAGTATGAAGGATGTAAGAGTTAGTTGGTGAATTATAGGGTAGATTAATATATATTTTTTAAAAAAATTGAATCAAAATAAAAATATAATATTTTCAAAACAATTGCAGGATGGACAAGAACAAAAGAAAAATGTTGCTCCAAGTAAAAGAAAATCTCAGAAGGACAAGACAATGGGAGGCAAAAGCTGCAATGATGAAGTACAAAATTCAAGCAAGAAGATGAAAAAGAACTGAAGAATTTCGGTATTTAGATCTGTAATCAAATATGTTTTGTATTCATATCAAATTTCATATGATCATCTGAATTAGAATTCATACTTAAGTATATTTCAGAGACAAAAATGGACATTCATAGTTGTAATAATAAGTTCTATTACTGCAGTATCATATTTCAAGTTCAATAATTATACTTTATCAACAATTGTTTGTGATGAAAACAAGTCAAACTGAGATTACACAAAATTGTAGTTACACAAGTAGCAAAAGTTTGTAATTACAAAGTAATATGTATGTAAGTAGTAAGACTAGTATAGTCAATTGTCCTTCTAGAGAATATGAATCTGTAATCTCCACTTGAACCATTTCTTCAAGATATAAATCCAAAATCTATAGAAAAATAAAGAAAAATTTTCAAAACATAGCATGAAAGTACAAAAATGATATAAATAGCTTTTAAAAAATGACCTTCAAAAATGATCATTCAGGAGTTGATAAAGTTCTGAGCTAAGGTTTGAGTTATTTGGGCGGAACAACATTTTGTTCAAAAGTTGAATTCTGATACGAGGAATATCTCTTTGGGAAAAAAGATTTGGAAGTAGAACTCTCGGACACCAAGTCTCCATAAACTTTAGAGTAAAGATTCCACAATCAATTCTACAAAAAAATAATTTGAAAATTATAAAGAAACAAGAAAACATTACAAACTGTCTACTGTTATGAATAAGTTATGAATTTAGAATGTTCCCATTTTGTACATAGTTTTAAGTCAGAAAATTTAATATTGGTTGAACTGAAAAGTTATAAAAGTAAGGAATTTATGTGACATCAAATATATTCTGTTTAGGTAAAATCCTAATATCAAAAAATTAAGATTTGAAATAAATAATATAAATCAAATTACAGTAAATTTGTATAAGAATTACATTGAAAAAAACTATAATTTAAGTACTAAAAACATGTAAATGAAATTAAAAATTTAAAGCTTATAAAATCATGGTAGAAGATACCTATTGGTCTTCTAAAAATCAAAATGTCAAGATTATAAAATGTCAAGTTAGAAGATTTCTTCAGTTTGTTATAAGAGTTTAAATGAGAGTACAAAGAAAAAAATTGAAAAACATACCTATTGGTAGACAGCCACCAAAACTTTTCGACTTGTCAAGTTTTTCTATATGCTTCATCAATCATTCAAATACAAGATTACTCCAGTCCAATTTTTCAATTGAATTTAGATCTTCAAAAGCACTGAGATATTTTCTACTAGGTTGCAACAATGAATTGGGGTAGAGAAAGCAATTCAGACATACTGAGGGCCCGTTTGGTGCAGCTCCAACTCCTAAATTTAACTACAGGAGTTGGCTCTACAGTGTAGTTGTGCAGCTGCCTAACCCAGCTCCACAACTCTAGTTAATTTTGTGAGAGAGCTCCATCCAGCTTGTGGACCACCGTTTTTATAACAGGAATCATTCGTGTAAACAGTACTATTTCCCTGGATCAAGTAGTCTGCTACACACGAGTTCATAGCTGAAATACCAAAAGCACATACACAAGAGTCTAGTGCTAATTATTACATCATAAGCCCGCAGGCATTGTCTTAAATCATCGGACCGAGCGGTCCGGAATACATCCAAAAGCAGAAATAGATAAGGCAGCGAAATTCAGGCAGCGGCATGCCATTGCCACAGGCAACAACCGTACTAAGACCTACTGAGCGCCATCGTCTTCATCTCCCTCCTAGTAGTAGGCATAGGGATCCTCCGAAGCTTCATCTCCCGCTTCTGATTAATTTTATATTTGCAAGGGTGAGTACCAACCGTACTCAGCAAGTCACCACAGCAACAATGCATATGAAAGGGGCATTTCAAAGGATGGCTATGGCTCTTTTGCGCTAAGCCAGTTTTGTAATTCTTTTCACAAACCTAAGACCTAGCATTGACTGATCAAATTTTAGTACCAGTGTTTGTATTTAAACAACGACGGTTCTGTCCACCATCCATTGTGATCCCAAGGATAGCTTCCCGCCATTGAATCGTTATGGTTTTCTGAGGACGCCCACCTTCCCCCTTCTCAGGAAGTGGCTCCAACAGCATAAAAATTCGTCATGCAACAACCCATCACACACAAGTTAAGAATTTAGAGACTAGCCAAGTGTAATACATGTCCCGGTGCTCAATAACCGCGAGCACGGCTATTCGAATAGATTGGGTTTACTCACACTGCAGTGGATGTACACTTTACCCGCACTCCGTAACTGCCCAACACATGAGCCTCGTCCCAACACATGAGACGCGTCACGGCAAAGCCTTTCGATAACCTCGCATTGGCAGTACCCGCTCCATGAACTTAAATCCTCATGCACTCTAGGCGTCCATGTTTCTAGCAGTGAGAGGAGTTCTGGCGCTCCCGGGAAAGAGAAGTCTCACACACATATTAAATTAAATTATGGTTCAAGTTAAGTTCTCTCTCTCACACACTCATGGCAGTCCTACCAATGGCGACACCGATGTAGGGCACGCCTCTCGGCCCTACCTCAACGGCTGTCCCACCGTAGCGCACCTGCCTCACTCAGGGGTGAACCATCTATGCAGGGATACTGCCTCCACTCGGCTATCTACTCCGCTAGGTCTATACCCATACGAGAAGTGCGGTTGTACGAGGGTCGTTTCATGCTTAACTTCATGGCTCGGTCCTTAATTGACCAGGGACGGTACTAGCCTTTTCCAGATACCACCCAAATCCTCCGTCCGTCCCAGTCGAAAACAGTTATTTAGTTTATTTCTCCTTTCACAAATCATGTTCTCAATATCATGGCAATGTGGCGCTCATGTCTCCACATGCCGCATCTCAATTACCTTCCCAAAGGTAATTGCCAAAGCATATAGCATTTGACAAATATGAGTATGCATGATTCTAGAATAGCATTTCTAAGCATTTGTCATAGTTGATTAGGGACTCATACGTAAACATGGTTACGAAGGAATAAGGGGTAAACAATAATCAAGGCATGGCATAATCGCAAGTAGGATGTTCATCATTGTATGCAATTTTATTTGTAAACAAAACAATCTCGCAATTGGGATCAATATGTTCAAGAATAGTGATGACTTGCCTTGCTCAAAGTCTTGCGGGTCTTAGCCCTCACTTGGATCCGCAACTCCCTCGGGCTCTATAGTTATGTGCGAAAATTGATTTGAATTCGGTTAGAATTCAAATAAAAATCCAAATAAATCCAAATGGAAGTCGAACGCGTAAGTCGATTCTTTTATATTAACTTTACTATTCGCGAACTAGGGCAAACCCAATTTCGATTTTTATATCCTAAACTATTTTGCGGGTATAAATATTTTGTTATCATAAGTTTTTAATTTAATCTACCCGAGCATTATATCCATATAATAGGTTGGAAATTTCTATCGCAAGCTAAATATCGGACGGAATCCTAAAATTATCTTATAATATTATACGATTTAATTTTAGTCTAGTACTAAACGACTAAATATAATATACGTCTAAAATTCCTAGTGATTAAATCCGAATTTCTACCGTGAATCAATTACTTATAGAGATTACCCAAAATAATCTATAATAGTCTATAAGAATTCATCTAATCGTTTAGTTCTTAATTACATTTAAACTACTACCGCGAATTGATTTCTTGTAGAAATTACCAAGAATAATCCATAATTTATATTAAATTTCGCAATTCTACGTCTATAACTAGTCTATAACTAAATGCTAATTATTTTAAATTTTCTAAACTTCCCTAATCTCCCTCTAATTTCCTATCTATTTCCCTTTTCTTTTTCTTCCCTTCTTTTTCTTTTTCCTTCCTTTCTTTTTCTTTTTTTTTCTTTCTCTCTCTCTTTTCTTTTCTTTTTCCTTCTCTCTCTCCCTTTTCTTTTCTTTTTCCTTCTCCCTCTCCCTCCCGGTTTCTCTCCTCCTTCCTTCTTCTTTCTCTCCCTCGGTTTCT